AATCTGTTGCCTGAAGCAAAACACTCTGCTTGCTATTGTATTGTACAAAATGTTTAAGTTTTATAAAACAGACCAATGATGATCTATGAAACTGCTGATGGGTGAATAAAGCAAATGCGCAGCTGTGAAACTTCCTGTGGGATTCTGAAAGCAGCTAGCTATATTTCCTGGAGACTAATAATGTAGTTCCTTCAGAGAAGAGAAAGCTTAAGGATTTAATTTAAAATATAAATGCACATCATTACTAAAATAATAAGATTAAAATACTTATTTTGAAACTTTAACATACACATGTCACTAAACAGAATGAAACAGTCAGGAGCATGTATCATGTAGCAGAAGAAATGCCATATAATCATCAGTACAAATAGGCATTAAGCTGCATGATATAATGGATATAAGAATGAAACAAAGAATAAATAACAAGACAGACGTAGCTCAAGAAATACAAGCAAGGACAGAACTACTTTTTTCATTAGGTGGCTAACAGGCCATGCAAGGATAGTTGCGTGCAATCTGCTCTTTTCTTCTAAGTGACCTGTTTGGTCTGGACGGTCATTACTTTTGCCTTCAGGGTACTGGGGTTCGTTGGTATGACATGTCAAATGCTCAGCACTGGCAGAATACAGTTTAGCACACATTATGGATGGGAATAGGTACATGATTGAGCCTTTCCTATACTGTCTGGATTCAACCCACTGTCTAAAAAATCTTCAGCCTTGCCTGAAGACCTTATGAACAGAGCAGAAACGTGTACCAGGCAGAGGCATCATGGGACCATCTTCTGTGGCGCCCAATTGGCAGTAAAATGCAGTACCTATGCAACTTTGCTGTGTCAGAGAACAAAGGAATTGGAAAAAGGACATACTTTCAAAAAAAAAAAAGATGGAGACATTTTTCTCTCTAACATTTAAAGAAGCTAAAACCATACCGAATCCCAATGATGTTAGAAACTGGACTTTATGGGGAGTGGTGGGATAGATTTTGTTCACTGGTGTATAACAACTGTGTATTTATGCCAACTGTATAAATACTGTGTAGTGTGCGCTTTGCCACAGAAGATACGGGAGGTCCTGGCTGCAGGGTCTGGGGGTGGCTGACCCTGGGGCTGCAGCAGGGCCAGGGCAGCCCTAGCAGGGCCTGGGTGGTTTTTTTTTTTTTGGAGGGTGGGCACAGTTTTTCACCAGCACTTTTCTACCCTTTACATGTAATCTCAGGTCTGAGTTAACCAATTACCTTGATGAGGCGGATTAGCTTGTTTCAGGGTGGAAAGCCTGTGATTTTGTTTGTGATGCTTGCTTGCAGGAAAGGATGGGGCTTTTCCGCCCCAAATTCCTGTCAGAGGAAAAAAAAAAAAAGAATAATTAAAAGAAAGGGGGGAAAATCTCAGGCAGTTTTGGTTGCTGTCCCAGGAGCAGAAATGCAGGAAACTTGCCATGTCTTCAGAATAGGTTTAATGAAGAGGTAGAAGTAATGCACTGCAGGTGCATACCTGGCTGCTTTTCTCCTGAAAAAGTGGTGGTGATGGTGAATTGCCACCCCTGGAGCTGTGGGCTCTGCCCCAGTGGTGCCAGTCTTTATTATTTAATGGCATGTGTCAGAAATTATTTTTAATGCGTTGCATTAATTCTATTTTCGATATAAGCTTTTAAAACCCCCACTTGTCATGACTGAAGCCATTTCCTACCAGGTGGCTTTATTATGGATAGTTTCCAAATGCTTATCTTGGCCACATTACCAGGTCAGATTAATCTCAAATCACTTAAAGTGACAACTTTAAAAAATAAACTGAAGCCTTTGTTGCCCACTGCTATGGGAGGGCTCCCTTTCATGGGAGAGTTCTTGTGCTGTGGAGAAGCACATGTGAATCCATGTGGGCTGATGGCTTACTGGAACTCATATACTTTTCCATAGCATTCCTCCTTTTCCCTCAAGCCCACTGTTCCTTTCGCAAAGATAGTGACAGAGAAATTCTTCAAGAAAGAATTTAAGAGCAGATTTAATAAACCAATGATAAGCTACCATGATAAGGGGCTATTTGTTTGTGTAAAAAGCCAGATTTTGTCACATTTCTGCTAAATGTTTGTATTCTGCTAGAAAGCTTGCTTCAGAGGTGCTTTTTTTTCCGGATGTCCAGGTGATTATGTTGAAACAAAATTGCAGGCTACTCTGTCATTACTGGTTAGTAATTGCTCTGAAATAATAGGCTGTGTGTGTGAAACCTCTGGTGCTAACCATTTCGGACTGAAGATAAAAGATAAATGGGAGGTAGGATAGTTGATGAGTTTGTCCTATGTATAACTTTGTTGGTAATTACACACACATATATAAATAAATACAGAAGCTGTAACAATGTAATACATGTTTACAGTGACTGACAAACTTTTTGCCTTTTCTAAAATCCCAGATTATATTGAAAATCTGAGAATGGTTTAGGTTGAAAAACTACTACTGATGCAATATCCACGGAGATTGAAAGACTGTTTGTTGAAATACTGGTCATTAAAATCCTGCCTAGGATTAGAGGGATGGATTATATTGATCCCATGGCTTTCTTGCTAAAGGCAAAGCTTTTTACATGTCTGTTAGAACAAGTGCACTGTGACAAGTTCTCCTTTATGAATGCTATACATCTGTACCTTGCTGTGAGGTATGTGATTTGGTATTGTTTTGCATTATCTTGAGTCAACACAAATTTAGTGCAATTATAATGCTCATTTCCTGTAAAATAGTAGATATGAGTAATGGACCTGAATTTCTATTAGAATAAGGTCATAAAGCACAGAAGCATTAATAGCAGAGCAAGTGATTGAGATTATGCTGCCTAATGCAATTCTTTCTTCAGAATACAGAACCATCACCAACTAATGTGAATGAGAGTTAGTTCTGCTGTGGCAGGAGGTCATTCCATGATGGTGTTTATTATGCCTTTTCTGCAGATTCTACATTACCGACTGTCATATTTTGTCTGCCAATTCTCATACTGTGTTGCAGTTGGCAGTCACGTGCCTCAGTAGATGTGACATTGAACTATGTGATAAAGCTCAGTTTTGGCCCCAAACCTCTCTAGAGATCAGCTGAAGTAGAATGAGAGGTTTTGACTGGCTCCTCACTGAGTGAGGGAACAGCTGCAGAGTCACATCTAATATTCTCCAAAACTCAGGTCAGTTGCAAATCTGCCTTGGAATCAGGCTACACTCAAATATTTATTTGGTTTTTTTGGGTTTGGTGGTGTTTGTGTGTGTGTTTGGTTTTTTTTTTAAAAAAAAACCAAAACAGCGAAACCCAGTAACAACTGTGGGAATATCCTTGCAGTTAGACCAGCGCAAGTGCAGGTGCAATGACTTAGTTTCAGGACTGGCTACTAGACTTATGCAGTTGTCTGCAGCATTTTATGAGAGATTATACAACTGCTCATGTTAAATGTCTCCATTTTTGACTGCCTGGACAGCTTCTGCTTTCTTAAAGCTGAAGGGAGGCAAAAATGGGACTTTGCGCGCATGGCTGTAACAGCAGGAGAGGAGTTACCAGAGTAAGTTTCTGTCTATTTAAAAGATTTTAACTATATATATAATTGTTAGTACCAACAATTATTGTAACACTGTAAACATTTAGATCCTTATAACCAAACTGTGGTTATAAATGGGTTACAATGAATACATAAAGAAATCTGAGACTCAAGAAGGAAGGTAATTTCTGAAACAGTAAGGAGCAACAGAAAATGTGACAGTCATGAGCACTGCATCATCTGCAAAACTGTACTTTCTGTACACTTATAATTGTTTCATTACATTAATAATGTTGAAATATAACTACTCTCCTATTCTATTATAAAACACTGTTTTAATGTGGCTGTTTGCAACAGAACTGCTCTGTTTTGCAATGGGGAAAAAAAACTATGGAAAAGACAGCATCCTCCTTTGAGTTGGGTTTTGCTATTATAAAGTGCTATTTCCATTCCTGAGTTGTCTTTTATCAGCCCTGCTCCTGGGTGGTGCCACAAGCAATCATAAGACTTTCCATAGCCGTTTTCAGAATGTGATGTGGCTTAAAACCTGGCTGTCATGTTCTAACAGTGAAATGAATCACTTGAACTTGACTCACAGGCGGTAAATGCGAATAGACATATAATTTCAGGTTATATTGTACATGTTATGGATAATTACAAAGCATAGTTGAAAAGTGATTGTTAGTGATCTGTTATTTACATGGCAGATTTTTAAAATGTTGTGTGGAAAAGAGGAAAAAATAATTCAGTCATGAACTAGGCTATATAACAGGGGTCCTGAGTGGGGAGCAAGGGTACATATGCCTAAGGAAGGACTGCTGACCACCAGTACTGAAATTAGACCTGAAACCTTTGAATGCCTTTTGTACAGCTGGAATAAGTTCCATCAGAACTGAATGATTTCTCTGCTGCTATTTATTTGTGTTCCAAAGATGATTAGATTAAAAAAAAAAGAAAATTAGGTGACATATAAACAAATATTGGTATATTATATGGAATGGATGCCTCTAGATTCAAGACTAAGTTAAGAGCAAAGTTTATCTTAATTATTTGAAAGTAAGGCCATAATTACTATGTGGCTCACTTCGAAGTGCCTTGAACGAAACCCTTTTGTCAGCAAATCTTTCCACACCACCGTGTCAACTGGGAGCCTGGAGCCCTCTAGTGTCAGCCTTGGTGTCATGGACATCAGTCACCTAGACTGATGACCTGTCCAGTGTCCTGGTCTGTGTCAGTACAGAGCTACCAAACCTATCACCCTTCCACCTGACTCTTCATTGACTTTAATGTTTATATATGGTTTTAAAAGATGGAGATTTATTTTTTGAGATGTAACTCATTCATCCCAGTTTTTAGGAAAGTTTGCTTAGGAGCTACTACCCAGTCTGTGTCAGCAATAAAATCAGAGCACAGGTAGGTCCTGTGTAAAGGAAAGTAGGAAGTCTGAAGACCAGTCGATTACACCCACTGCAGTTCTCTATTTTTCACTTACTCTGGGAGTCCTTGCGAGTCCTTCCACTTGCTCTTTCATGTCCCAAACCTGGGGTACCCTGTTCTTCTCTTGAATTGAGGGTTCCCATTTGTTCATTCCCAGCACTGGGACAGACTCAAAGATGTTCTTGCTTACTGGAAGCTCACTAATTAATAACATAGAATCATAGAATCACAGAATGGTTTGGGTTGGAAGGGGCCTTAAAGATCATCTAGTTCCAACCCCCCTGCCATGGGCAGGGACACCTTCCACTAGACCAGGTTGCTCCAAGCCACATCCAGCCTGGCCTTGGAGACATCCAGGGATGGGGCATCCACAGCTTCTCTGGGCAGCCTGTTCCAGTGCCTCCCCACCCTCTCCGGGAAGAACAACAACATCTGAACATCTGAAGTGATGTTCTTGGAACATTTTGCTTTTGAGTGCCTTTCATTCAAAGCAGTATCAAAGCTCCATAGGGTGGTCGGTACCTCAGTCTAGATTGATATTTGACCTGGAGCTATTGAGAAATGGCTGTAGTAGGATGGGAAGCAAATATTTTATGGGGCCAGCAACCTTATGTGAGGGATTCAGTGAAAAGTCAAAGGAGACATTCTGTAAAATGCTTAGAATTTATTAATCATTATTACTTCTTTTTCATAAAGAATAAAAATAAAACAATATTCCAAAACAAAATAGAAGAAAATATACCACACCCAGATAACATGACTAAGACTAAGAAATGGGATAACATTAATTCTGAAAGAAATGACCCAATAAATCAATTTTCCAGAAATAAAATAAATAGCAATGGTTCAACTTTCAAAAGTTTCCTAGGAAAGAATTTACATATATTATTATTACTATTATTAATATTATTATTAAGTTTTGTTTACAAAAATCCTTCATATGCCCCTGTTGGCAAAAATATATATATATACTTCTTCTGTAAACAGTTAACCACAAACAAACAAACAAAATCCATATTTTCATACAGTTACCATGCTGATGATGTTATGTAAACAAAGAGTAGTGTACAGCAGCTTCTCATGATAGGTTTTCTTTCTTTTTCTCATGAGAATATATAGGGAAATGTGCCTATCATAAATTGTTCAAAATATTGAAGTTTATGATTTTAAGAAGTTATGGCTTTCTGCAGTCTGTTTTTTCAAAGTACAAAAAGACAAATAAAGAAACAAAGAGGTACAGTTTTTCTCAGGTTTTGTTTGATTGTTTGTTTTCTGGACTTCAGCTTTTGATTTGTCCCAATGAACTAGAACAGAAATGTTATAAAAAAGGTCAGTCTACATCAATGGAAATATTAGATATTGTTAGGTGTCTATATTATGCCACCATGAGAAAGCTTCAAGCCAGAAAAGAATGTTATTCTCAGACTTTGTGCAATTGTAAATTCAGCTGTCGGTATTATGGTACAGAACTTGTCAGAAGACAAACAAACTAACAGAAAATATCCAAATGACCTTATGCTGTACCTTTTGAGGTGTAAAAAAAAAAAGAAAAGATTAAAAATAAGGGGAGATATATTGATAATGAAAACTGAAAAAAATTTAGACAGGCATACTGAGTTTGTATGCAGAAAATATCTGTTCATCCAAAATTTTAGCTGCTTTTGACACTTTTGTGTTTTTTTTCAAAGTGTTTTTTTAGTCTTATGTTCAACCCTTGTTTGATGACTTCTCTCTAGATCTAACTTTAGGCATTCGCTTGTTCCTGAGAGGCCTTTTTCTGGTTTGTTTCCTGTTGGGTGCTGTCTTGTGGAATGCACTCGGTGCTCACGCAGCTGCATTTCTCCACATAGGTGTATGAGTGATCAAGGTAGGTTCCGTCACTGCATGTCAGAGTCACCTTCCTTTCGCTGGTCTTAATTTCCTGACAACATGAGCATTTATGTTCCATCGTGTTTGCCTCTGGAGAATATCTGATTGCAAAACCAACAAAAGAGAAAGATTCAGAAATCATGTGAGAAATGCTACCCATTACTAAATGTAACCAGGAGCTGTGGGACTACTGCTCAGTATTACACTTGAAATACAAGGAAGTTGCTCCTCATTGTAAAGAGGAATAGATCTAGCTTTAGTTTATTTCTCTTCATTATGGCACAGAAAAAGTAAATTAATTAATCTAGATCACATAATAAGCCAGTCTAAAATGAGAGAATATTGAGAAACAAATAACCTCATTTTTACATGGGCAAATTCAAAACTCTGATCTAGTCACTATGACACTGAACAGGCTGTTTAAAACATTGTGAGTCTTGAGGTAATTAAGGTAGTAAAACACGTAAAAATTCTAGTTAGCACAGAGGAAACAGCTGATGACTGGGTAGGTGTTGGACATATTAGAAAATCACTTGCGATCTGCTTAATGTAAGTAGTGTAAAGAGAAAAGATGAGACATTAATTATCTTTTATACCACTTACCGTGAGTAAGCATCACAGCTGCCTTCACAGTATGTCATCTCAACAGGTGTGGGAGATACACATCCATGATGTTTAATGACAGTAGTAGTATTGTGCTTCTTACAGCCTGAGGTTGTCACAAACAAAGGGAAAATACGTTAAAATATTTGTGCATAAAAATAGATATCTCTGTATGCCAGACTGGTAGAAAACTGAGATGGGTGGAGCTGAAAGAGGAGATTAGGTCACAGTGCATTTCTCTCTCAGTTGCTAAGGGTGAAATGATGGCTTTTGCTGCTTGTGTTAATGAATTAAAACTTCCTTTTTGCTTATGCAACTTCGGTGCACGATGCAGAGATAAAGAGCGCTGCTGTACTGTGGCAACTGCTCAATGCACATCCACCTCCCCGGGCTGGCTTCACTCTCTTCCTTAAAGAGAATGTACCCATGGAAGTTAGAGAATAGTCATAGTCGTCTCCCTCCCACAAAAAGGTTAGCATTTAACAAGAGGGGATGGGAAGTTCACCATATCCATGTTTTCCAAGACCCTGAAGTGTGTGCTGGAAATACTCTATTCCTTTTTTTTTTTTTCACCACCCATTTCCTCTCACCCCATTGGGAGGTAGTGGTCCCAAACTTGGTCTGTTTACCTCTTCTGTCTATGCATCTACCATGCAAGATGGACTGCTATACCTAATAGAGCACGTATTATCATTACTCAATCTTAACAAAATCATCATTACTTACTCTTCAGATTTGGTTGGCACACGTTACAGCAGCCATCATCAGATAGCTTGATGTCATCCTTGAGTGAGAAAACAGAAAAAGATGATTCGTGTTTCGTATCAGCATACTAAAGCAGAGACTTTCCCTGCTTCCTAAATTTCTCTGGCACGAGAAAGATCTTTGTATTGATGTGGAATCTAATTTCTGGCAAAGCTAAATATTGAGAGTGCATAACTACTCCAATATTAGTAAGAGTTCTTTGAAAGATGACACTGAGGGGGGCTGGAACCGCTTTGCTGACATCAGAGTTCAGTAGTAAAATTTCACAAATAAAGCTTGTAGGACATGTAGGATATTTTGAGTGAAAAAGTCAAAGCCAGTGACAATTTGAGTGACTGTCAAAGCCAGTACAGGTGAAGGATGATGTTAGGGTAACACAATTAATGAAATAACTGATGCCCCAGATTTGTGGGGCCAATTCCAGTGTACTCTGAGCTGTATTGTATTGAATGATGTGAAGAAAGGAAGTAGCTTATTTTCTGTGCCTTTGTTTCGCTAGGTGAATTCTTTAAAAAAAAAAAATTATAATCTTAAATAATTCAAAAATAAAAATGCCATTGTTTTAAAGTAAGATTCTTGCTTCTAGGTCACCTGACACTTTTAGGAATCCAAAACATTACGCTGTACCCTTTTCTCTAGTGCCAAATCTTCAGTGAGGATTGATATATCACCCATTTTAATTTTGGTTTGTTTTCTGAAATGAAATTTGATTTGAACCAGATTCAGAGAGGATAAAATGAGAGCTACATCCTGTGTTATGCTTCTGCTAGGTATTTTCCTTGGACACCATAATCCCCTATCACTGGTGTTTAGCTACTGCAACTTTTTCAAACATGAGAAGCAGTAGAAGAGTACTTACTGGATCACAGTCATCAGGGTTAAGGGCAGGACAGCTTTTCTGTGAGATGACTTGAATGAACTGGTCATCGTGCTTTTCACATCTGTAAGTTTTACAGTTATCACCCGGTGGATTCCAGATTTCTCCAACCTGAAAGCAGTTAAAACTAAAGTGAATAAAAATCTTACATAAAAATGAAACAACTCTCCTCCCCCACTGTCTTATCATTGCTGCCTACTGTGGATTGATTATTCCAAACAATTTCCTTGAACTTCAACAGGTAATTTACTTGTTATATGATCACACTGCTTTTAAGTCTCTTTAATCAAACAAGTGAAGAGGTGGTATTTTCATCTGGATATGTTCATGCTTTTTGTGTGAATAGGGTAAGTATGCAGACTCATCTGTGTTTCAGTGGTTTTGTCATCAGAATTTATGGGTATGTCCATTCAGATGCACGGCAGAATTTCTGCTGGCTTCACGAGCTCATTCTGCTGTAAAGCTCTCAGTTACTTTGAGATTGGCTGTTTGGAGCAGGAAATTCCCTCCACATATAAAGCTATCTTTTAAACGAAAAGGGGTGTGTGTGTGTGTATTTTCAGAGCTGAAGGCAAATAAGAGCCGGTTGCTTTCATCCATGTATTTTTCTATGTTGATTTCTGAAAGCCATTGTTCAGTATCACAGTTGCTTCCAGAAGTCTTAGAACTGGAATCTCGTGGCTCAAGATACTATTCAAGCTGTGTGGGACTGTCCATTCACTGCCAGAACAAGCATTTGTCTAATATAAGAAAAGGTGCAGCAAATAAATGTGACAAAGGCCAGGAGAGAAAAGAGTGAAAAGACTAGCAGAGTTCACAAGTGAACTAAACCGGGGATAGTTACAGGGAGCGTGTGCGTAACGTTGTCTCCCACAGTCACTGTACAAGCTGTTTCCTTGCACGTGCCGCAGCACTGTCCAGGCTTCTTTGTATACTTATAACCCTGGTTTGAAAGAAATAGAGAGGAGATGACATGGAGTCAGGACACTGCCGTTAACTGGTGGTTATTTGGGTTGAGTAGGGTAGGAATTACTGACGGCAAAATAGCACTCACTGGTGGGCAGTATGTGTCACAGATAACTGGATTGCACTTGACGGTAGCGTGGTGAAGGCTCGAGTAAGAGGTTTCCGAGCAGGTGCATTCTTCACAGGGCCCTGATGGAATGACAGCCCCAGGCTAGGGGAATGCAGAAAGGAAGTCATTATTAGTCAGGAAAAGCAAGTTAATTTGTGTATGTATGTCACAAACAAGAACAAGGTAAACTATGTATGGGCTAAACTATCCTTAAATACAATTATGTTTTTTTCAAATTTAAGTTGAATTTCTGTTGTTGGGAATATCCATTTTGGAATTAAATTCTGCTAATGCAGAAAGGAGAGCAGAAAATGCTTTTGCTGGTAGGGACCTCAATTAAATACTTAATAATGTTTTATCTCAGGCCTTTCTGCAAAATATGGTCCATGATAAGAGTCTCAAAATCATTGCATTGTGAACCTGAAGGTGTATTTTTACAATGAGTTACTCTGTGTACTTACTGCATAGTAGGTCTCATTGACTACACAACCATGTCCTGTAAAGAAGGAAGAAAGATGGTGTCACAGAGGTGTAAGTTTTAAGAAGCAGAAATCTGTGAAGAAACTGCTGCTTTGTTGGCCCAACATGAGAGCACAGATAATGTGCATCTTTGTCTTTTAATGTTTTTGTCTTCATAAACTTAGAAAAATATAGCTGTGAAGAACACATGAAGAAGGTACATAGTACTTACTGCATTCGAAGCTAGGACAGCATTTTCCAGGCTGCATTATTGTGATTACATCCTGTCCCTCTAGGCACTGCTGGGTGACCTGAGGGCAGAGGCTGGTGTTGCAGTCTGTTAAATGTAAGAGAACATAGAAAATTATGAACTTGGATTTTTTACATTTTTTTTTTTTTTAGGTTAAAAAGATTGTTTTGCATGAAATTCAGAAGTTTTCCATGGGGCAAATATGATGTGTTTACACAAGGTAGTTTAATGATTAATTCAGTATATTTGCCCTGCTATTTTTAAAGTGAATAGGCTGTTCCATTATCTTCGTAAAACAAAATGTTGTCTAAGAAGAACTGAGTGGTGGTTGCTGGAAAGAAATACTTTCAAAAAGAAATTTATACCAATTGGGAAATCTGATGGCTGTCAGAGGTCCAGGAGCTTTCTTGAGATTTTTTAAATTACTTTTTTATTTGTAAGATAGATCTTTTTATGCTAGTCTTTGAAACAGAAAATGTTGTATATTGATTATTGTGGTGGAAGCATTAATGGTTTCCAATGTTAAACCATAGATGATAGTTACTTTTCTGTGTCTAACTACGTAAAATCTCTTCATATTTAGATTTGTTCTCTTCAGGCATCTAGTAAATGCTCTGCAAGAAGGCCCTAAGAAGTGGCATGAGGGAGAAAAGCATTATGAAATCAATTCAAAGTATTAAAAATAAGAAATTATTGCTGTAGTTCCCCAAAATGAATATAGTATGTTCCCCATGCTAAAGAACTAAGACTTACAGCACTCAGTCCTGGCACAGCACGGATCTTCTGGTATCTGTATCTGAACAGGCATGTAACCTGGCTCATCACAAAATACTTCCTGTGTCAGAGAACATTTGTGTTTTGTACAGTGCACTTTAAGTGTGTTTTTGTCACAGACACATTCTTGGCAATCTTCCGTCCATTTTTCTCCTGGCTATATAAAAAAAAGAAAAGAAATTAAGGGAAATTATATCTAAATTAAAACAAAATACAATTAACTTGTTTCTAGTTGCTTATTAATGGATACAGTGATGTTTGAATGCATCAACCTTTTAATATTTCTACTATTTTTAGATTTTATAAGGAATGTTCATGCTGAAGCTAGTTAGGGGAAGATACTGGAGGCCTCTGAAGGTTTTGAGCATGTTCACACAGTTGTCACTTTCTATTTATTTGTAGTGTTAGTATGAGGGACACGAGGTCTAAAGGAGTAGTGATTGAGCTTTACGTGCCCTTTTGGATAAGAATCATATGACATACTCATTTGCACATGAGGCTACAGAGAGAAATCTCTATGATTTGTATGCAGCTGAGGAACTAAGAATGCAGACTATCATCATTATCAGCAACAGGTGAACTTTGTTATCCATCTGTCCCTTCATCTCTAGTAATGTTAGCAAACCAAATTTGTAGAAATAAAAGAAGCACACATGCCAAAGTTTCCCTACTACCACCTATTTTTTTTTTAACTCTTTATCTTTTATTTTTTTTTTTTAGTATGTGAGGTGATGGTTATTGAAAGAATATCCTATCACATACTGTTAAATTTCTTGGAGTAATGGTTTCTTCTCTGGCTCTCATAATTATTTTTAAATCAAAATGGGATCGTACATTTAGGGAAAAAAAAAAAAATTCCTAGTCTCCCCTAACCTAAGAAAAGCTTTGGTTTTGTGAAACACTAAATATCCTCTTGCCTCACTTGTCTGTGCTTGATAAACCACGCTGATTGTGATACTCACCCGTCGGGATACTCCATTTGGTTCCCTACAAACTGGAAAGAGGGGGGAAAAAAAAAAAAAGTTAAACTGCTGAAAACAGACATAAAGGACTGAACTTATGCAATTTCAAATAGAAATATTCTGAATACAAAACTAGCAAGAAGTTGAATATTCAGACTACTTGTTCAGAAATGTAGAATTCTAACATCTTGGTAGGTTTCATATAAGGGAGGAAGATGGAGAAAAAGGTAATATTGATTATTATTTGGTTTTTTAGATAAGAAGACTAAAGGAGCTTAAAGAGTCTGATTTCCCTGTCATCTGACCATGTAGAGGATGACAGCAGAACACAGGCATCCTGACTATCAATCCTGATCTCTGTTAATTTCCCAAAATAGCTACGGTTTACTTACAGCATTCAGAGACACAGATATTGCTGTTTTCACTCAGAAGTGTCTTCCCTTCAGGACAGAAGCATCCTTCAGTTACTCCATAGCCAGGAAACTCAACAAAGCTAGAGTGGGAGGAATGTGTGTATTTAAGGACAAGGTTTTTTACAATGAAGCAAGAGAGAGTGCAGCATATGTAGCAGGTTGCCAGCTACAAAATTTTAAATTTTCTGAAGCACAACAGGAACTGTGTATTCACAGAACCGATTTGATATTTATAAATCTTGAATAAATTATTTAAATTCACAAAACATTTCATTATGAAGTACCTTCATTTTCTAAGGAAAGTAGATTGGTAAAAATACAAAATTAAAAAAAAAGAAAAGAAGCACTTGTTTTAGGGTGGGGGTTTTTTTTGTCTTTTCATACCTTGGGTCACAGGTGGGAGGGTTAATGGACCCACAGGGCTTGTATACCGTGCTTGCTGGACAGTTGTATGCTGTATGGAAAAAAAAGAAAAAAGATTAAAAAATGACGGTTGATGCATTTTTGCCACAAAAGTGACTACAGCTTTGCCTTCTTCATGTGTAGTTTCTGTGAATAAGGATGTTGCTGTATTTTTGTTGACAATAGTCAAGTGTTAGATGTAAGATGTGTTTACTCAATGAAACACTAATTGCTACCGTTTCTCACACATTTTTGACTTCTGCAACACTTACGGCATGTGTTGTTGGTCTTTCCTCTCCAGTCAACGCAGACACCTCTAGCAGCACACTCTGTAGCATATATCTCCAAACTGGAACACTGCATGGATTCATCATCTATGCGACATCCATCAAAAACGCAGCCTTTGAAAAAAGGTTCTGGTGGTATCACAGCATGGCATTCCGCAAAAATCCTGCGGACAGAAAGAATCCAAACACCTTTTATGTTAACAAGTCATTATATAAAATCCAGCACTTCCCAGTTAATGGCATGTGACTCTGTTTCAGAAAGGAATGTATTATGAGAAACAAAACACAAAGAGTGGCCAATAATCTGGGAGATAGATTCAGGAAAGAAAAGCTTAGGAAATATGAAGCACCTTTCCCCACCCCGCCCCAAATAGGCTAATAGTCATAGTAGTTTTGTATGTGTACGCAGCTTTTCATCAAACTGACACCAGAAATTTCATGAAAAAGGCAACTCCACCACAGTAAGGAAGAAGGGATGATAAAAGTAGCAGCGAGAGAGAAATTGCACATATAATAGCTCATAACAGCAAGCATATGTAAGAGGGCCTTTGTAAGTGACCCAGCTGAAAAAAAGGCTTTTGTCAGAGCTCACACAATTACAGCAAATACTTGTGCTTTTTGAGGTCTGTGTTTTACATAAAATGTACAGTGAGTGAAAGATGCTTTTGGCTGAAATGTTTCTGTCTGTTAACCTGGTTGGTAACCGCGTTCTTTACAGTTTGTACTGAAAGCCCACTTCAACTTTAGAGTTCAGTCTTTACTTAGTAGTGTAATAAAGAGTGAGTGAGTATACCTGGAAGGTAGGGAGGGAGAAAGTTAACATAAATGTGTGTGGTTGCAACCTAGGGAGTATGGATTTTGGTGCTTGCTACATCCTTGAGTTTCTGACTTCACCTCTCCTTGCTCAGTTATCTTTGGCACACAGTTCACTAAAGAAGAGCAGTTTCTTTTGCAAAGGCCTTTTAGTGTATATGTCCTGTCATTAATGTTTTCACCTATTATCACATGCTAGGGCTATAGTTCTTACTCTTCTTGTAAGGTACTGTCTAGAAAGAATGAATTCATTCAGTTCTTTTCTTACTCGCTCCAGATAAGTTTGCAGAGTTGGGGTGTTTCACAGTGAGGCTTCGGTGGAGGTGTGGTTACAACAGGTGGTACTGGTACTCCATGGCATGACTTGTCATTATCAACAATCCAGTGATGAGCCATTTGGGGACAGGAAGAAATGATCTTACCATTTGGTAAGCGGCATTCGTCTAACTTATTATTTGTACATGTTCCTGGAAGAGACAAACGATGTAAGTCTCGCAAGCCACATCAGAGATGCACAACACATTATGGTGCTGATATCACGTTTACTTGTGATGTGCTCATGAAATATATAGGGTGCCTTGCTTTATTAAGGAGTGCTTTCTTCACAGTCATATGAACTTTAATTTATGTTAGGGAAAACCAGACAAACCTAACACCCCACCCCACCCTAAAAAAAAAAAAAAAACAACCAAACAAATAAAAAACAGGTTGCTGAAATACTGAGCTTTTGATCCCATAGGAGTTCCAGAGAAGAAATCTTTTCATGTCCATTTTAGTCCTGTTTAAAATTTTCTGTCAGTCATGAGACTGCATAGCCAGAGTAGGTGAGAATAACTACGGTAGGGTGGGGAAAAGGCCCCATCTACGATTAGGGCATCTGTCTTACCACACTGTCCTTCGGTGTTGTTGCCAAATTTGCTGTATGGGAGTTTCACAGAGAAAATCAATCCGCTAAAGGTGATGGTTGCACCAATCTCTGGTATTTCAACAATCATGTTGATGCCAAGTGTGGAGAAAGAAATGCCATCTTTTTTGAAGCCTGGCTTGACAATCTTTTGGTTGAAGTACATCTGAATGTAGAGTCAAAAAATAAAAATACAATTTAAGAATATGCACTGTTTCTGCCTGATTGTTTTAAATAATGTATTTTCTAGTCTTCATAATCATGTATAACTCTGTATTGCTGTGCCTCACATCCAATTCCCATTGATATTGCAAAAACAGCGTATATATGCATTAATATCTCAGCTTGTTTTGATATATTGCTCTAATGTGATAACAACCTAAGTGGCCTCAATGTACCATATTTGTGCAGATTGTGTGCTAATATACAACATTCATACAACAATACAAATCCCAGTATTTTCTTTGTATCCCTCAGCATTTTGTTTATTGTAAACTTTTCTCATATGAAAATAAGCGGTAGTTTTCTTTAGCCACAGAAATATTCCTGCTACTACTATGTCATAACTTTGCTGCAAAATCACACTGTTCCAATACTAGATGTTGCTTGGCACTTGGAAGAATTGTCTGAATTCAAACTGAAGTCATATGTCCGTGGTGACAGCTTTTTGTAGCAGTCGTATTTATTCATTAATCTAAGCTGTTCCATTTGCAGCCTGTATCTTGTATGAGCTAATGCAGGTGGACATATCTGCTTAGTAACTTCTTTTGTCCGGAATTATTCTGCAACTTTCTTCTCATTGAATTTGGATAAAGGAAGAGTTAAAACTGTCAGTTACTGTTTTCATTCCCAGGGTATCACTGAGCTAATTGTTTCATGCCTTTCTGATTGTAGGTAAGGAGAACTTTGGCATGGCTCTGTAGTGAAAGAGTGCATATTGAGACAAACTTGTCCTCCCACCTCTTTGTGTTCTCTAATCAACTAATGCGTTCCCCAGGGTAACATTGGGACTGACCTCTTGTTTTTACTGACTTGCCAACACTAGTTTAGGATCATGAAGGTAAAGTAACGCCCTCAATCACACTTTTTCTTCAGCTATACCTGTCATCCCAGCAGGGAATGTGTTTGGTGTCTGAAGTTCCCTGTGCAGAAGCTGCCATCCCAAATCATTTGGTTGATAAGGGATACATAGCCATCTTCGCCATGAGAGACAAATTACGCTTGTGATTTGCATCCATGTTTCTTCATAACGTTTTTGTTTACATCAGTGAATGGTACAATATGTTAGTTACCATGAAACATGAATCAGTCACCAGTGTAAGTTCTGTCTTCTCTATCAGTTGTATGTCTATTTCTTATTGTTATATATAATATACATGTACATAATAGTCATATCTGCATTGTGCTAAGCTGTTTGTTACATTTTGTTCTTATAAACGTGTTATTTTATGTTTTTTTTCCTAATGATACCCTCTGCCCTCACCATCATAATGATATGATATTCTAACAGGATGTGTTTCAAATGAAAATTAGTAAAGCCTATGGACCTTATTTTTTTTTGTTTCAAAAGTAGAGAAATAAAAAAAATTGTATTTTACCACATTGGTCATCACACCATTCATGAGTTTACGAGTCAGTATCACTTCTGCAGATTTGTAGAAAATTAAAATGGATTTAGGGCAGGAAAGTCCATCTTTTGCATCACAGTAGTAATTGTCAATGTAAACACGGAAGTTGTCATATTTAGGTACAATCTGTTTCACCAGGACATAAGTGCAGTTTTCAAGGAAAGTATAGTAGGTTCCATCAAAAGTAATATAATGAGGATCACCCCATCCACTGCAAACACCTGGTAGGGAGAAGATATTTAGAAGATGAACATGAAAATTAATGTAGAGAAAAGAATTTAGAAACTGAAGTGAATATACTACAAGTTATAGAACAATCCTAAGAAAACAAAATATCCGTATAGTCTGTGCAGAGTTTTGATTTTTTTTCTAAAAGGTTATTCCTTAATCTACTGGTGCTTACATTGGCACTCATATTTGTAGCAGCAACCATTTTCATCAGGTACCAGTACTGCTGGATATTTGTTGGCACAGGTAATTTCCTTTACAGGTGGGCAGTGTGTCGGAATTACTTCTACCTTGTTGTCTCCCTTACAGATGAGTTCTGTACAGTTGGATATTTTGTATCTTTGTCCAGGCTGCAAAATGAAAAAAAAATTGCTGTCACAGGCATTTGCAAATAGATATGAACATTGCTCATGTGTTTAGATTAATGGTATATTTTTCCATTAATGGCGGTGCTGGAAAAGAGATTAGTAAGTGTTATTCTCTTCAATTTGGCAAACTAATGATTTGAAATGTTGACCAGAGGTATTCACAATTCTGACCATGATGTGGAGGACCAGAAACTGTTACGTTTTTCAAATCCAAAGCAAAGACTAAATTAAAAATCTCCAGTGATAATCCAAGGTTGTCAATATTCTACCTTTTTTTTTTTTTTTTTTATGCTAAAAGGAAGTGGTTGACAACCTTAATTCATCTATTTCTTCTCCATTAAGAGGTCTTCTGAGGTTTGGGGGGGACACATGCAACTGATATACTTTATTCTAGCTATGCATACTGTAACACCACAGACCACATTTATCAAGAAAAAAACCCTAAACAAACAAAAAACCCAAAAAAAGAACATGTTCAAAAGTATAGGTGAGAGAACAGAAACATAAAACTGCCTAAACAGTAGCTTAAGTTATTCTGCTTAATGAAGAAACAAAATACGCAAGAAAACTTTCTCCATTATTTCATTAAGAATTTCTGTTATTTATGCAATGCCATCCATCAGAAAGTCTTTTACTAACACTAGAGTCATTAGAAAAGATTATTATATCTTGCTTTCTCGTATGTGAAAAACTTATAGTGAAGGAACATACAAATATTGTCACATATATTTCCTGTCACTAGTAACATTTATTCTCGCAATCAGCACACATAAGGTTTAAAGAATGCAAACTGTTCCTTTCGGTATCAACATAATATTGATGTTATTTCAGCAATCACAACATAACACAAAAAGTACATACCTGAAGGGGAGGGTAAGTAGCAGAAACACAACCCTTAAAAGGAATTCTTGTGGAAGTGGTAGGTAGAGGAACTGATGTTGTTACAGTAGACCATTCAGGGGAAGTAGTGGTTAGAGGAGTAGTACCATTACAATTTACAGTGCGTCGTTCGACTGTACATGTTAGACTACAGATTGCATAAAATCTACATCCCTCACTATCTGTTCTGTTGTAAATTAAATCACCTGAAAAAAAAAAAAGGAGAAAAAGCAAAAATAGTAAGATTAAAAAAAAAAAAGGCTAAAAAAAGAGTTCAAAAAAGAGACAAGAAACTAAAATATAAACAAATAAATATTGTGAATGTATTAAAATAAAACTGAGAATGTAAGTGATCAAAAAGCTACACAAAGCCTGAAATATCAGATATAGAGATGATTAAAAAAAGAAAACTAACCGGGTGAAAAAATTGCATCCGCAATTTTACAGAAGCATGGTGTTGATATAGGAGTAGTGGAAGTACTAGTGCAACACGGTTCAGATGTGGTGGTAAGGGTGGTAAGGGTAGTGGTGGGCAAGGTTGTGCTGCTTGGGCAGTTGTAGTTAGGCGTGCAGCAGAGGACGCGGATCTTGTAGTTGAGGCACATGTTAAATTTTCCCTTCTGGTCTTGGTTCTTGCACACCAGTCCAAAGTGGACGTCGCACTGCACGACCTGTCCAAGACTTTGGATGGGTGTATTGGGGTACTGTTCTGCAAGGCACTCAATGTTCTTTGGATGTTGACAGACTCTCTTGCCGGCGGCCCGGATGTGCTGGTAGGTTTCAAAGTCTCCCTGGCTGGGCCCCGAGGAGGGGAAGGGAAGCCAAAACCAGTCGCTCCAGGAGCACACTTCAGGTTCACAGGTGGTGGTGGTGAAGGTCACGCTGGGG